AACACCGGGCTGGAATTCCAGACGGATTCCGGCTCTGGGAAGGGCAGCAGGGGGAGGAGGGGGAGGGTTACCCCCATCCCGCTGCTCCACACTCCCAAATTCCTCCTTCCCAAATGCCCAGTTCCCACATTGCCCGTTCCCAGCCTCACCCCAGGCGAAGATCCCGGGCTCCGGCATTCCGGCGTGCTCCACCCGGCACCGGTACTGCTCCCGCTCCCCCGGCAGCGCCTCGATCCTGGCCCAGCTCTGGAAGGTGCCGTCGCTGTTGGGAACGATCCCGCCCCACTCCGTCTCCTGATCCCGCACTTCATCCCCCTTCAGCCAGTTGATCCCGATCATCCCGGGGTAGAATCCGTACGCGTGGCAGGACAACGTCAGGATCCCGTGTTCCTCTTTCCCGGACACGTGGACATGGGGGGGATCTGGAATGGGATAATGGTGAGATCCATCCTTGGAATTCCCATGGGAATGGGATTGGAGTGAGATCCTTCCATGGAATTCCCATGGGAGCTGGATGACTCAGATTCATCCACAGAATTCCCATGGGAACTCCCGTGTTCCTCAGTTCCACCCTCCCAAATCCCACATTCCCATGGGAATTCTGTCTCCCTCACCTTTGTGCTCCAGCACCTCCCGCCCATATCCAACATATTTCCGGAGCCATTCTGGACAGATGTTCTTTAGGTAATGTGTCTGTCTCTCTGCCACGATCCCATCGTGTTCCCATTTCCTCTTGGTGATCTGGGCAGCTCCATCGGCCGCCACGAAGCTCCCGGATCCCAGCTCGAAGGAGATGAAATCCTGCCCATCGTAGCCTTGCCGAAAGGATCCACGGACGCTCCCGTCGGACAGGAGGTCACAGCCACAAACCCGCTGCACTGTGTGGAGACCTGGGGGGTGGGATCAGAGCCATGGAGACTCTGGAATTGTGTCCCAGCCCCAAGGAGCCCCATTCCAGCCCTGTGGAGCCCCAGAGTCTGATGGAGACCCACAGAGCCTCATCCCAGTCCTTGGAGCACCTTGGATCCACATCCCAGCCCCACAGATCCTCTCATTCCCCGGCTTCCCCCACTCACCCCCACTCCAGTTGTACAGGCCCCTCGCTGTCTCCAGGTCAGTGGTAGCAATGAGTCGGTTCCTCTCATTGATCTGGGTCTCTCTATCCCAATATCCCGGCTCGGCTCCGGCCGCCATCCACGGTGTCTGTGGCTCCGTCCGGCCCCGCTCGCTGTCGTAGCGCTCAAAGGGGATCCCATCCACGTATCCCATGGACAGGTATTGAGGGATCCCCGGGCTGGGCTCCGACACCATCACATCCAGGTAACGCAGGGAATGAAGAACTGGGGGGACACGGAGATTTGGGGGGTCCAGAGGGGTCATGGGTCAAGGAAAGGGGGAGCTGGGAGAGCTGGGAGAGCCGGGAAGGAGGTTTGGGGATCCCAGAGCCAACGAAGGGAGGGTGTAGGGACTGGGAGAGGTGGGATGGGGCATCCAGGGGTCCCTGTGCCCAGGAAAGGGGGCCCTGGGGGGGGCCCAGTGTTGGGGAAAGAGGGGTCATGGAGTGAGGAGACCTGGAATTGCTGGGAATGAGGGTGCAGGGGAGTCCCAGTACCAGAGAAGGGGGGTCAGGGGGGTCTGGGTGCTGGATAAAGGGGGGGCAGAGGGGTCCCCATGCCCAGGAATGGAGGTTCAGGGGGTCCCAAGGTCAAGGAAAGGGGGTGCAGGGGCTGGGAGAGGTGAGATGGGGAGTCTAGGGGGTCCCTGTGCCCAGGAAAGGAGGGTGCAGGGGTCCCATGTGTTGAGGAAAGCGGGGTCTGGGGTCTGGGAAAAGCAGGAATGGGGATTCTGGGGGTCTCAGGGTCAAGGAAAAGCTGAGTCTGGGGTCTGGAAGAGGCGAGATGGCTGGAAAGGGGGTGCAGGGGGATCCTGGTGCAGGATAAGTGGGTTCAGGGGGGTCCCAGTGCCCAGGAATTTCGGTCGAGGGCGTTCCCGGTGCCTGGGACCCCCCTGCAGGAAGCACAAGGAGTGGAGAACTGGGGGGGTCACAGAGATTGGAGGTTCTGGGAGGTCCAAGGGTCAAGGAAGAGGAACTGGGAGAGCTGGGAAGGGTCCAAGGTTCAAGGAAAGGGGGGGCTGGGACTGGGAGAGGTGGGATAGGGGATCCAGGCGGTCCCTGTGCCCAGGAAAGGGGGGTCCAGTGGTCCACAGTGTTGAGGAAACTGGCGACTGGGTGCTGGGAAAGGCAGGAATGGGGGTGCAGGGGATCCCAGGATCAAGGAAAAGGGAGGATCAGGGGGCTGGGAGAGGCAGGATTGGAAGGAAAAGGGGCACAGGGGGGTATTTGTTGAGGATAAGGGGGTTCAGAGGGGTCCTGGAGCTGGGGATGGGGGTGGAGGGGATCCTAGTGCAGGATAAGGGGATTCAGGGGGTTCCCAGTGCCCAGAAATGGAGGTTCAGGGGGGTTCCCGTGCCCGGGAATGGGTGTTCAGGGGGGTCTCGGTGCCAAGAAATGGAAATTGGGGGATCCCAGTGTCGGATAAGGAGGTTTAAGGGGCTCCTGGTGCGGAGAGGGTGCAGGGGGGGCAAAGTACCCGGAAAAGGAAGTTCAGGGGAGTTCCCGTGCCCGGGAATGGGTGTTCAGGGGGGTCTCCTTCCGGGAATGGGGGCTCAGGGGGTTCCCGTGCTCAGCAATCGGGATTCAGGGGGTCCCGGTGCGGAGGGAGAGGGTGCAGGGGGGTCCCGGTGCCCGGAAATGGAGGTTCAGGGAAGTGCCGGTGCCCGGGAATAAAGGTTGAGGAGTTGCCCGTTGCGGGGGTCCCACTTACCCTCGGGCTGCCCCCCCGAGACCCCCAGGAGCGCCAGGAGCACCCCCAGCCCCAGCGCTGGAGCCATCGCGCTGCTCCGCTGGCCCCGCTGGGCGCAGTTCGGGAGCCGCGAAAGCGAAAGTGGCCGGGGGAGCGCGGGGGGCGGGCACGGGGGAATTGCCGGGAATGCCCCGGGATCCCCTTCGGGAGCCCTCCCGGCACCGGCCCGGGTCCCCCCGCCACCCCCGGGCCCCCTGGAATTCCTGGGGTCCCGGGGTCAAGGCAAAGGGGGGCTCCCAAAGCCCCTCCCAGGGGGGAGCGGGAGCTGGGGCAGGAGCTCCGTGGGGAGAGAAAAGGGGGTGAGAGCGGGATGGGGGTCCCGGGGGGGCACACACGCTCCGGGGGGGACACACGACCCCCGGGGACCCCCCTCAGCTCCTCCCGCAGGCGGAGGCCGAGCCCCAGCCCAGGGAGACGAAGCCAAAGACGGAGCCCCGACCCCCGTCAGCATCTTGGGGGGGCGGCGTCCGGCGGCAGCTCTGGGGGGGCGGGGAGGGCAGGACCCGGGAAACGGCGGCGGCTGCTGGGAAGGGACCGGGACGGACTGGGATGGACGGTGACAGACTGCCACCAGCCCGCGCACATGGCCAGGGCTGGGACTCCTAAAGCAGCGGCTCCGGGCACTTCGCCAGGGCTGTTTCCCGTGCACCGCGGCCGGTTCAGCACAGGGAG